TTTTTTTTTTTTTTATTACATGTATTGGGGTGACATTGGTTAATAAAATAATACAGGTCTCAAGAACATGATTCTATAATATATCGTCTACATATTGCATGTTCACCACTCAAAGTCAAGCCTCCCTTCGACCCCGTTCCCCTTCTCCACCCTCTCCGGTAACCACCACACTGTAGTCTGTGTTTATGAGTTTTTGTTTGTCTTGTTTGTTCGTTTGTTGCTTTCGGTATTATATCCCACATATGAGTGAAATCATTTGGTTCTTGACTTTTTCCATCTGACTTACCTTTAACATAGAATTCCAAACATTGCTAAAGGGCATCGTAGCAACCCCCACAGTGTGGTTTAGGGGCCTTTGATTTTTCCTTCTAGGCGACTCTCCCCCACAGCTTGCTCTAGGATACTATTGGAGTTCCTGCGACTTTGTTTTTAGATGTTTCTTTCCTTTCTGCCTTAGGCCAGAGAATTCTGTAGCTTTCTCCTTAAGACTAAGGGTAAATATTTACCTTAGCCAGTCACTGTCACGCAACAAAGACTGTCACTAGGGTGCGCTAGCAAACAGCAGGATAACTACCCTTCTGCATCCTCCTGTATCAGCTGTTCCCCCACCACCACCCCCACCCCGAATTTGGGATTCTGCCTGTGCAATGCTTTACTGTTCTTCGGCTGTCCTAAAGTGAGTCAGCTACAGAATAAACCAGCACTTAATCTTTCGTGGTGATCAGTTTCCCGATTATATTTCTAGTAGAGTTGACACTATGTTAAATCAGAGCAACCATCAACTCTTGTTAATATACCTTGTGAAAGGATCGAGCATCCTTCCCTATCACTCCTGGAGTATTACCAAAAAGGTCGTGACAAGCTTCCACCCTTTTAAGGCGTGCACTCGTCACGATGGTCTATGTAAGCGCTGGAAACTGGAGCTTAGAAGGGACTGGCCTAATTGGAGTCAGCACTGCGAATTATAAGAGACCCCTGTCTATGGCGACCTCAGGACAAAGGAAATACAGTTCGGTAATCAGTGTGAAAAGGGAATGAAAATAGTGCCATGTCTGTGACCGTGGAGGTCATGCCCTTACTGGATAAGAAAAGAGAAGGTCGAATGCTAGTTTGTGCTAAGTGTTCACAGTCCATGGTGGCTAATAAGAATAAATAAAAATTATAAACAGTTTTGTATTAAATTTACTGGAGTAATGTTGGTTAATAAAATTATACAGGTTTCAAATGTGCGATTCAATTATATACCATACACACACACACACACACACATACACATATGTACATATATATAGTATCATGTGTTTATCACTCAATATAAACAATTTTTTACTCTCATATTCCCAGGGCTCTGCTCTTTGTGCCCTGAGATTGACAGATTGACAGATCGCATTGAGTGAAATTAGAGGGCAGGGGTCGTCGCCAGTGTCCTCTAACAGAGTCCTCCAGACAGCCCCGGGTTAGCACAGAGCGCTCCGAAACTATATATATATAGTATCATGTGTTTACCACTCAATATAAACAATTTTTTACTCTCATATTCCCAGGGCTCTGCTCTTTGTGCCCTGAGATTGACAGATTGACAGATCGCATTGAGTGAAATTAGAGGGCAGGGGTCGTCGCCAGTGTCCTCTAACAGAGTCCTCCAGACAGCCCCGGGTTAGCACAGAGCGCTCCGAAACACAGCCCACTGTAAATTATGCTTTGGGGGAACCTGAAGATGTTTGTGAGATAGAGTTAAACTCCAGCTGCTATAACAGCCTTAATTGGAGCATCAGCTGAGTTTTCCCACAGACCAGCTCCAGATGATGCTAAGGAATTAACCGAATAATCCTTCCTATTACTTTTCTCAGTTTCTCTGAGGCTCTTCTCCAGAGCTTCAGGCTTCTAATCAGATGGCATCAGTGAGGAGCTGCACAATGGTTGAGCACAGTGCATAGAAAAGACTGGTGGGGTCCCAGGGCCCAGGCTTTACGCAAATAATTTTTAATCACTTTGGCTTTGCAATTCTTAGTCCTTCATCAATATAAAGGAAGAAAAATAAAATCTGCTATTTCTATAAAGTGGATATCAGTCTTGATCTGCCCAGTTGGAAGAGCTACGAAACTGCTCCTCCACCCCTCATCACAGAATTAACGTGGAGGCATCCATGCCTGTTGATGAGCTTCCTCCATTCCCTCCAGAACTTCCTGCTTTCCAGATTCCTAGAGACCAGATCTGTCCTCCTTACGGGCACTGTACTCCATGGAGAAACCAAAGCACAGCCAGGACCATGTGCCGAATGAAGGTCAGTCGGTCTGGGAGCTCAGCCTAGAAATGTCCAGGCTGCTACCTGACCAGGAACTGGTCAAGGACATGCATGCATACACATACACATGCACGCACACACACATACGCACACACACGTAGGCATGGACACTTCCCACTCAAACATTCTGAACTTATGATAGAGGTATTTAATCAAAGTGTTCACTTCTTAGAATAGAAAAGGGTCGAATGTTTGACCTCCTAGAAGTGATCCCTTAGGAAAGAGAAGGGTGGCCTCCTTCTATTCCTGCCTTCCTTCCACGCTCTGGGAAAACGTACGTATAAGAAGCCAGATCTCATTTCATTTTCAACTCCCTGCCTGAAATGAAAGTGATGCTGATTTTCTTTTCCTTCCTTTAACCCAGTTCATTGGCATTTATTTTCACAATGAAGCTGTTGCTTCTATATACATTCATGCATAATCCATTACACTATACTCTCCCATGGAGCAGTTCTCAGCTCCTGGTAGTCGACTGAGTCTTAAGTCTTACATCTGGGCATGCCGAGGACAACTTTTTCAGGGACAATGGCCCTTACCTCGGTGGCATCAGGAAGCTTGACCTGCAGGTCATTGCAGGCTAAGCTCTATGCTAATCTCTCCAGAGTTTCATTTTTGTCACTTGCTAATAATAGCCTTTATCAATTGATTCAAAGAGGCTTAATACAATTCAGAAGTCTAAGATTCAATGAGAAATTCATTTCACTTATGCATAATTCATATGACGGTAAGGGCGCTAAGCCTCCTGGGGAGGAAGAGGCTGCCTGCCTTTCCTCTCACGGTAGAAGCCCACTGCTGTTACATCACAGAGACCACGCACTCAAAACGAGCCCGTGCACAGTAGTAGGGACACTGAGCCTTTTTCATTTGCTTCTCTCACGACAACTATTTTTATGGTTTTGAAAAACGCTGCCAACAGGACATTTCCCCCACCTACTAGGGCCCCGTTGACCGGGACGCCCAGGGTGCTTACCTGCCACAAAGTCACCAAAGCCCACTGTGGTGAGAGTGACCACCACAAAGTAAATGGACTCCAAGGCCGTCCACCCCTCAATATATTTGAAAATGACGGCAGGGATTGTCACAAACACAATGCAGCCGGCCAAGATGAACAGGATGGTTGAGATAACCCGGATCTTGGTCTGACTCACTTGCTTTTTCTAGGAACAGCAAAAGAGAAAGATAGGCAAGTCAGCTTTACCATCTGGATTCGGTAGACAGAGGTACAGAAGAAAATGGAACGTGTCAGTGGCTTTTCACCTCTCTTAGGTCATGGGCAGCTTTGTGAGAATCTGATGAAAGCTGTGGACCCTTGCCTAAAAATAAATGCGTATACAGACATTTTCAGGTATTGTAGGTGGTTCTCAGATCCCATGAAGCAAAATGTGGACCCAGGTCAAGAAACCCCACTTAGCTCACACCTTAAATGTCCTTTGCTCAGTTCCATGATTGCAGCCCACATGCCGGTTCTAACTTCCTCACTAGTGCACACACAATGACTTCCCAATGGGCTCGCTGCTATTTTTCATGTGGTATTATCGACGCGCCATTAAGAAGACCTTGGTTCGGAGTTTTTTTCCACAGTGGTGGTGATGGACATCCACCTAGTTTCCCTTGCATCAGAGATAATATACTGGGGAAAAAATGACTGACCTGAGACAGGCCAGAATGTTTGGATGAAAAGAAAAAACATAGCCACCCCCATCCACATTTATGACAGATGCTCGGCAAGTATCTGTGTGCTTCTTTACCCTTCTTTCCTCTGCTGAGGATAGACATTTAGAACATACTTTCCTTTTAAACACACAGGCTTGAGCTGGTGCTGTGGTCATTGTGTTTGTTGGCTGTCTTACTTGCAAGGGACAGGACAGAAGTTCAAATTTGAATGACAGGGTCACTGCCTCAAATGGGTAGGAGGAGCTTCAGCTCATGCCAGCTTCTGAAGCAGTCAGTAGTGGAGAGGTGAAAATGCATTTTGAATGGGAATGACACTGCTTCTGAGACAAAGGAATCGCGCCAATAGAGGCCAGAGGTGAGCTGGAAGCATCACTGGTATTCTCCTTGAATGCACTCAAGACAACGTCGGCATTGCCTCAAAGCTAAATAATCCTTGAAGTCTTCTCAAACTTTCCAGAATTGGCACTGGAGATTGGCATCAGGGGACCTTAGTTCCATAACCTCATCCAAACCATATATTATTGTAAACATATCTTTAACACCAGAGCGAATGGACCCTTCTACACGTTATCGATTTTCTGCGAAAATACACCACACTAGGGCAATCAACATAGGAGATCCTTAACACATGATCTATTTTCTAGTTGTTGCCTTCTGGTGAATTAGAAGGCAGAGAATCTAAGATTACAGAGGGACCTCTGCATTCATAAACCTCATTTTATAGACGCAAAAACAGAGGCTAACGGGACTTGAATAAAATGATGCTGCTAATTAGGAGCAGAGCCAAGATTAGAATTCCAATGTGATTAACTCCGGTCCAGCGAGTAATGATGGAAACAGCATTTCAGGTTAGTCAATGACTCCCAGCTCCGACAAAGTCTCCAGAGTCCTCCCATAACCTCCGTGAAGAACAGCCCGCCCTGCTTCCTTTCTGGAAAGAAAGACTGAGAATAAAAAATTGTCACTGGGCGATCTATCCAGGAATTCCTGAGCTTCCGTCATAGCAGCGACACCTGGGCCAGGTTTCCCAGGATAGTCAAGAGAGATCCTTCTAAGATCAAGCACTTGGCTCGACCATGAGAAAGCTACTCCAGTCGATGACCAGGTCTCAGAGACAGTCAGTTGATCATGGTTCTGTTTTCCTTCCTCCCATCCCCCTCTTCCTCCCTGATCTGTGGGGAGAAACATCTGTGCTGCCTCTTAGAGCTCCAAGAGACAAGGAAGCTGAAAAGGGGAGAGAGAAAGGCTGCTCTCCTCCATAACCACTCAGTCCCACCTGCCTGGGGTCCCCAGTCCCAGCTACATTCAGTATGGCAAAATGAACAAGGCGATTGAACGAATAAGAATAGTTAGAGTGGAGAACATTGATTTGCACTAATCTAAGCCAGCACCGTTTACCCTCCAGGTTCCTAGATCAATATATTTCCTAAACATTCGTAGGAAAAGCTAAAGAAATGCAATCCTTCTTTATAAAAAGGAGCCACGTGCTCTAACTCCCGAGAGGGCACTCAGTATATAAAGTGGGAACAGGAAAAAATCATCAGATCCATGCATATATAGTCCTCTCCCCATATTCTCATAAAAGCCACGTAAAAAAAAAAAAAAGTAATTTATTGATATTTTTAAAACTACACATGAAAATCAAATTTTTCCCACAAAAGTATGATGTCAAGATAAATTATCTGAGAACCACAGGGAATGCTTCACCCATTTCTTGAATTTCCATATTAAACATTATAGGAGGACTTTGTGGGGGCAGTTGATCCCCTCTGAGAATCCAAGAACTTACTTATGATCAGCTTAGTCATGTGCACAGACATGTGCAAAACACCAGAGCCCGAAAGGAGATCTTACCAGATCATTAAGTTTATCTAATTGTTGGCAACAGGAGCATCATCCCCCCATCAACACCCCGTCTAAACATCGTCCTCCTCAAATGCATAATGAAATCAAGGTGAATTAAATGTTTGTGAGACACTTGTTAAGTCATAAATTGAGATGTTAATGCAACTTGCGACCAAATGAGGCTGAGGTTGGCAAAGAAGGGCTGTAAGTCCATAGGAAGCTGGAGACATTCTCGGTTCTAGGAGATGGGCAGAGTGAAGATGGCACAGGACAGGACCTGTCTGGTGGCAGAGAGGGAGGTGAGGAACGAAGGCTAGATCGCGGTGTCCTAATTGCATTATCTACACTGGACAGTTTCTCAGCAAGACCAACATGTCACCACTGCTCACTGCCTAAGCCAACTAGCATGTCCCTGGGCTGCTTCCACCAAACATCGTAGGATGATGCCCAGAAAAGGCTTGGAGATTTTATACTCAATGGTGTTTTTTAGAGACTTAAGGAATCAAGTGACTTGCGCATGCATGTGTGTGTGTGCCTGTGTGTGCATAGGTGTATGAAAATGTGTATACCCATACTCCACTATAAAAGGAAGAGGAGCAGGTATAAGGTTTGGCAATATCTGCCCTCTAGATATTAAAAAAAAAAAAAAAAAGTTGCCTTAATTGTAAAAGGAAGAGGGGTAGGTATAAGGTTTGGCAATATCTGTTATTTTGGACACCCATATTATTGCTGCCCTCTAGATATTAAAAAAAAAAAAAAAACAAGTTGCCTTAATTGAACAAACGATCTTACACTTCATCCGTGACCTTTAGGCTTCTTATCCCCATCAGCCCTGCAACCGTTCCCTACTACTGAAAAATGGTGTTTAAGAACTTGTGGAGTCTAGCTGCAGACTGCTGCTGAATAGCTGAGTGACCTCAGGCGAATTTCTCAACTTCTCTGCGCATCAGTTTCTTCCTCTATAAAATGGAGATAAGAGAATCCACATCACAGGATTGTTTGGAAGGTTACGTAAGTGCGTAAAGGCTTAGCACAGTGCCTGCTAAGAGCTCACTGATTGTTAACGACCGTCTTTGATGTAAATGTTCAAATATTTCCTTAGATGTGGACAGTTCCAGATTTAATGCTACCCTTTGCTACTGAGGAGTGTACCTCATGTCTGGCTTAAGATAATCTTTGTTTAGCTTCAAGAAGTCACTGTTGGTTGTCTCTTCTTGGATATATTATCTCGTGTAAATACCTCATTTTCCATAAGAAAAAAGCCCTCATTCAACCTTGGTTCTTCTGTGCTGACTCTGGATTAATTTCTTAGACAGTTAGCTCACACTCTTGAAAGATTTTTTATTTACCTTTCGATTAATTCCCCCTACTTCTTTATCATCCTTCTGAAACTGCCAAGAATTACAGGAAATGTTTGTGATGTGAACCAACTGCAGGGAGGCCCTGGGAGGCACAGACCGTGCTTTCCTTGCCCCTCCCCCATCTCCCCACCACCTACAGAATCAAGCTGTGTTTCCACAGTGGGGTTGCTAGGCAAAATCACATTGCTTATTTACCAGTAAGTAAAGCCGCTAGCAAAAGGCTTTATGAAAGCCCAGATCTGACTGAGCTAATGTGACTGACAGAATTGGTATCCTGAAAGAGATGGTTTAATATAATATTTGGGCAGAAATGATAGTTAGTTATGAATATCCATCCAAATCTTACCTTCACACTTTGTCGATTAGAATAATGTTTTCTTTTCTCCGTATGCAAACAGCATTCAGCAAAACTATTTCCTGTGTCCAACTGACACTAACTGTGGGATTTTTGAAGAACTCAAAACCCACCTCCTATAGAGTTCATTTCGTTGTCAAAATTATACGTGCGATTATTTCAAAGAGCAAAATAAGCTTCATAAGCAGGAGGCAGGGGAGCCAGCTCTAAGAGCTTTCCTTCAAGAGAGAGCTGTATGAGCTGATGATTCTGGAAGTTTGCTCATTTCAGACCCCAGAGGGCGAAGCCACTCCGATTCTCATTAAGGATAATGTACTGCCTGTGTTTGTTTACTTCCAGTCTTATTTTAGAGAGCAAGTGTATTTCTATTCATGTGTGGGTTATTTCTTTACTCGATTTTTAACCCCTCTCGAATGCCTGTTCTTTTTTCCACTTTTATGTGATTTCTTAGATTTCTGAGATTAGCAATCCAAATTGTTGTGTCTGGCTGAGAAATTGTTCTTTGTGGTTTTCAGCCAGGACACTGGAGATTTCATACAATAATAAAGATACTGCAGTAAAGATCCTAAGACAGGTGCTCTAGTTTATCATTCAGTTTTGCTTTGCTGAAAGGTAGACACATCGCCATGGTAATGCAATCGAACTGAGAATAATTTCTCAAAATGGAAAGAGAACAGGAACTGACTGACAAAAGAATTGTCTCATTTAGACGTTATTTTCTCATATTATGATATTTTCCACAAAGATTTCTTTTTAATAGGCCCAGTTCTAACTAATACTTTCAACATCACAAAAAGTATCCATGTTGTAGCAGCAATTCTATAAACTATAAGGAGACTTTTTAAACACTGTCTACCTATAATCTCCATGGCAGAGGTACTGTAAACACGCATTAGGGAGAATCATGCAGTAAAATCTCCAT